GCCCGCGGTGCTCTCTTCTTCTTCTTACGCAGAAGTTTCTCGAGCATCTCCTTCATGGCGTTGATTGCAGCTCGGTGCTCATCAAACTAAATGGCTATATCATCCGGGATTCCATCCATGTGCACATTTGCACGCCCGCTTTGTATTGAGCTTAAGGTCTGAGACGTTGCTACTGCCGAGCAATCGTCATCAGAAACGGAGGCTAAACGCCTATAGTCATGAGGCATGACAACCCCTTTTTTTGTACAGGTGTGCTGGTAAACACCTTCATACTCGATAGAGAGGTTTTTCAGTTCCAGTGAGAATTTAGGATCAGAAAAGTCTTGAATCTTTCACCTTGGACTTGCCTTGACAGTTGCCATTAGGAGATCCAAGTCATGCGGTGCTCGTCTCCTCTGACAATTGCACCTTTAGCAAAGAGGTCTTATCTCTGCATGTTGCTGAGAGAGGATCTCGAGAACTGATGGTTTTGACCATTCAGCACACCGGCACTCAGCGGGTACCGCTGCAATAAGCATCACGTAGTGACACTGAGGAATTGCCTCATGAATAGTGCATCTGTGAGTCAAGCGCTCTCTGAGGTACACCATAGGTTGATGATGACAACCCCTAACGTCTGAAGGACTAGTTGAATGCTTACGAGAAGAAGGCTCAAGAGTGCACTTGGAAGAATACTTGGAGAAATTACCAAGTGTTGAAATCCGACGAGTTCGTTTTGACAGGTGAGCTTAGGCTTGTTGGCGAAGTTCAGCTGCTTGGCGAACTCGGGCCTGTTGGCTAAGTTTGGCTGCTTGGCGAACTTGCATGTGTTGGCGAGTTTCAGTTGTAGGCGTATTTGGCGAAGTTCATTTGTCTGGCGAACTTCATTGTCAGGCGAAGTTTGTCTGCTTGGGCGAACTTCAGCTTGTTGGCGAGGTTGAGCCTGCTGGTGAGGTTCAACCTCTAGTTCTTTCAGACGACGTTCTCCCGTTTGGCGAACTACCGTTGCTTGCAGGCGGGGTGCTAGCTGTTGCCCTTTTAGGCGAGGTTCGCCTGTCTTATGGTCTTTGCCTGAAAGGCGAAGTTCGCTAGCATTTGAAGCTTTAGCGCGAAGAACGTCTGAATTATAGGGCTCACCTGATTTTGACAACCCGCCTGGTTTTGGCAACCTGCCTGATTTTGGCAACCCGTCTGATTTGGGCAGCTCACCAAATTTGGGAATATCGTCAATGGAGCGAAGCTCGTCTGAGTAGGTGGGCTCACCTGATTGGCGCAGTTCGCCAAAATTTGGAATGTGACCCGTAAAGAGGAGCCTGCTTACATTGGGGGGGCTCGCCTGATTTGCTTGGTTCACTAGAATTGGTAAACGTGGCTTGTAAATATGCAATAGTCCGCTTGAATTGGTGGGCTCGCTTATATTTGAAGCGGTTTCACCCAGTAATTATAAACATTGCTTATAGAATGGGGCTCGCCTAAATTGCTAGGCTCGCCTGAAACACTGAGTTCACCAATTTTGGTAACTTTTCCAATGAAGCGAAGCCCGCCTGAGTAGGTAGGCTCGCATGGTTGACGTAGTTCGTCGGAATTAGGAACTTGGCGTTCGTTCTTGGCCTTTTTGTCGGCATCAATCGTCTTGTGTGGAATGAAACCCCCAGCGATTACTCGGGTAAAGCTCCCGGGCATTTTGGATTGTGGCTGAGTCGTTCGCAAGACTTTGCGGCACTTGCGTGACGTTTTGCCACAAGAAGAAGCCGAAAACAAGTATTCTCCGTACTTCGCTTGATCGAACTTGATGGGGAAGGACTCAACGATGGTCCATACAGCAACTTTGTCGAACTGCGCCACCACCAATTCATCTGAATGAATGGTTATCCCCAGCGGAGTTGTCATCTTCTGTAGGACGTAAAATGGTTCTTTGAGAATTTGTATTGATAAGAATGGCTTATTACAAATTAAAAATCAAATTACAATAGAAGCAAAGAGAATGTTCTTCTTGTTTAATCTGGTTTCTTCGGTAGCGATATGACGCTTTCCTCGAATGCTTGCGTCGAGTTTGCTTCCATTGGACGATCCGAACGAAGTTGCAGTTGAGCTTCAGTGCACGGTAGAAGCTCTTGGTTGAGTTCGATCAACTGAGGCAAAACAAGGGCTTGTGCTTGTAGGCCAAAAATGCTAAGATATCGAGGTGTTGTCTTCTTCTCCTGAAGAGTCGAACGAGACTGCCGATGAGCTTCGTCGCGTGGTAGAAGCCTGATCAGAGTTGAGTACCCGAGCCAAGAATCAATGACCGACTGCTCAAGAAGTGCTTATGTTCGGTTCTCTTGAATCTCCCTCAAGAGTTTCAAGAATGCCAACATGGAGAGGTGGAGAATGTCCAGTCTTCTCCTGTCGGCTAACAAGCCCCTGAGGTGGAAGATGCTAAGAGCAAGAGAAGATCAAGGACCGAACGCCCAAGAAATGCTTGGGCTCGATTCTCTCGAAAGCCAAAGTCAGGCCGCCCTGTGTGTTGTCTTTTCTTCGTGCAAGACTAAAGAAGAGCCTCTAGTAGCCAGATCAAGAGAGAGCTAACCACAAGAGATTAAAGATGTCAAGCTCTTCTCAAAAGAAGGAGGTCGGCTTCTGGCCTAAAGACTTTTTTTATGTAGCCAAAAGTGACTTATAAATAGCCAAGGAGAGTCATGACCACTCCCTTCAATCATTGGGAGTGGGTGTACTCACTCCCTTAAATTATGGGAAATGACTATTCCCATGCTAGGTATAGTCATGAGGATAACCAATCCCGTAAATCATAGGAAGTGATAATTCCCATACTGGGTATGGCCATAAGGAGAATCATAATCATTCACTTAAATCGTGGGAAGTGACCTCTCCCATGCCTCATGTGGGTGGACTTGGCAAGCTTGCGGACGAACTTGCCTTGTGCAGGCCAGCTTTAAGCATGCAGGCGAGCTTCAAGCGTACAGGCGAGCTTGGCCTTTAGACGGGCTTCAAGCTGTCAGACGAGCTCGACTTTTAGGCGGGGCTTCAAGCTGTCAGGTGAGATTGGCCTTTAGGCAAGCTCCAAGCTGTCAGTCGAGCTCCAAGCTGTCAGGCGAGCTGGGCCTTTAGGCGAGCTTGGATCATGTAGCTGAGCTTCCAGCTGTCAGGCGAGCTTCCAACTGTCAGGTGAGCTTGGCCTTCAGGCGAGCTTGGTAGGCGAGGCTATGCAGGCTAGTCAGCCTCATTCCGGTGAGCTTAAAGCTTCAAGCATTCAGACGAGCTAAACTCCTTTGCAGGCGAGCTTACTCTTTAGGCGAGCTCCAGAACATACTACGAAGAACAGACCATAACTTTCAAACCGTAAGTCGAAATTGGATGAATTATATATCAAATCGACTTCTCGACAAGATGGAGCCGACCAAACCCACCAAAGTTCGGTTTGTCGCCGTCCGTTTCGCCAGATTCCCTCCGGTTTGAGAGATATCAGTGTTTTTGTCTGTTCAAGGAAGTGTCGGTGTGGGTACGAATATGAGTCTCGGGTACAGGTACTTCAAATAGAAGTACCCAGGTAACATAGCACATAACCATCATTAAACATGAGGATGAATTTTATAGGAAAATGGACGATAACCAACCCCCTAGTAGAGGTGCAAAATGGATTTCATTTATCCAGTCTGATCCGCATCCGTAGTCGAATTTGGTGCAAATTCGGATATCAAAATCAGGATCCAATTGGATACGGATCTGAATTTAGATATCAATATGCAGGTAAAGGCGGATACATATATAGATTTAGTTTTGTTCGAAAAAACCGGATCCGGATCCAGATCCAGATTCTCAGGCAATAAATTATACGGATGGATCCACACGTGGGTGAGCGGGTCATGTGACTCTTCTTGTCAGAAAAGACTTGAATGTTGGGCTTATTAATTAACTAAATGCACACACTTCCCAAGTCCCAACAAAGAAAGAAACAAGTAAAATAAAATCATATTTAGTTCTTTGTAGTTTACTATCATGAAGCTAGAGGGTGTTACTTTCAAGAAAACACAGGTTTATCCAACAAAAATACATTTAGTTCTTTTAAATCTAGAGAGTGTTACTTTCAAGCAAACACAAGTTGATCCACCAAAAAGTTACATTTAGTTCTTTTACATTATTTTTAGTTTCTATGTCTATTGTATTTTTCAATTCAAATTCTAAATCAGCTATGTCTTGTGTATTTTTCCAATTCAAATTCTAAGTTAGCTTCCATCTAAGGAATTAAAAAAATTTATGCTTATAACGGAATTCATATGTATCTTTTCTTGTATCTGAATAATATATGTATCCACTTTTCTTATATTTAATTCATATCTTTTCCGATTATCACGGATACAATTATGAATATTTCTTACCGAAATATGTTTTATCTGTAACTCATAATATTTAATTCATATAATATTTTTCCAGCTATCACGGATACATTTATGAATATTTCTTACCAAAATGTGTTTGTATCTGTAACCTATAAGCAGACATGGATATGGAAAATGCTAGATAAGTTATTCCAATTGTACATAATATCTTATTCTATGTGATTATTCATATATTTGGTCATATCCGATTCATATCCAAGTCATACCCGTTTCCCAAATATGTGATTTAAATCAGTGATCATATCCATATCCGCTTCACTCAATGCGAACTGTATTTGTTTCAGTTTACTACGGATATAGATATGACTTACCAATAAATATTTGCATTCATATCTGTTTTTAGAAAGGGGATATGGATATGGTAAATGTCATATCCGAACTGTATCTAGATTCTATGCACACCTACCCTCTGGCTTAGGTGGTATTAAAATGTCGTAAAATGTCAGGAATGTTTACCTTTTACTTCATATATATGTGTTGGGGGTGTGAGGAAGGAAGGGGAGTGATTTTTGTTTGTCTGTTTCTCTTGTTTGTATGATATTTGTCATATACCTTCGATGACCAAAGAGTATGAAATATTAGTAAATAATCGTAGGTTTCTCAATTTTCTTCCTCTTCTTGAAGGTAAATTGAGAGAAGAACTACCTCCATTGAAAAAGATTAGAGATCGTTGCATGCAGCAGCTGGAACAAATGCGACCTGATCACATGAGGAGGTTAAATCCAACCCCATATAAGGTAATGTGGCCTTTCTTGATCCTGAACTAGGTAACAAGAACAATTATAACTGAAAATTAAATACATATTTGCTCATCTTTAATAGGTCAGCGTGAGCGCAAAGTTGTACGACTTCATTCATTTTCTATGGCTCAATGAAGCACCAGTTGGCGAACTGCAGTAAGCGAGAGATGGAGATAAATTTAATAGACCGTCATAGCAACAGTATTAAAATGTCCAAAAAGTTTTTTGCCCATAATTTATTTTTTACTTAGATATGAGAATGTAAAATGTATATCAGATGTCCTGTTGTAGCAACTTGTTTTGTTAAGAATCGTCATTTAGGTTATAGATTGTTCATTCAAATAAGGGGGATTATTTTTCAGTATGTATGTACAACTTGTTCAGTTACCGTCAGTCATTCACTTGATTCTTTAGATCATACAATAATGAAGAGGCCATATGCTGCATGCAAGCCCACAGCCGAAGAGGGAATAATAAAGACACCGATATTTGTCTGTACAGCTCATCCTTTTGTTTTCTTGATGAGAATTTTGTTATCTTTTGCTGTATTTTTTTGTTTGGACAAATGTTGATTGATTGGAGGTTGTGGCATAGATTGTGACAGGAATAGGAAAAGACATGAATAATGTTGTTTCCTTTGTCTTTTGTCTTTTGTCTTTTGTCTTTTGTCTGAGAATGCGCATTGATTAACTTGCTTATGCTTCTAATGATTAGATCTAATGAGATGGTTCTTATTTTCTTTGACTAACAGTGTTTAAGGCTCAAACGCTACTAATGATTAGATCTAATGAGAGATGGTTCTTATTTCTTTTGACTAGCATTGTTTTAAGGCTCATATTAAGCACCAACTTGCTAACAGCCAAATGAAGGTTGTAAGTTGAACGGTCACCAGCATCGCCCACAAAACATGTCCTTTTCCTGCAAAATGAACGGTCAGCAATCTGTATCCAAATTTATTGTATCTTGGACTTCTGATCTTTATTCTTTACTTTCTACTCAAATGGATCATTTTTTTTTTTCATTCCTATGTTTTTAGTTAGGGCCTGTTCGTTTGTTTTCTAAAAACCAAGAAATGGAAATGGAAAAGGTGGAAATCTCAAAATAACTCATTTCTTCCATTTCCATCCCTAAAACTCACCCACAACATCCAATAAAATATTATTTTCATCCAACAACTCATCCACATCATCTAATAAAATATTATTTTTATCTAACCACTCATCCACCACATCTAATAAAATATTATTTTCATCCAAACATCACTCAACTCATCTCTTCTCATCATTTCAAATCACTCACATCATCCAATAAAATATTATAACAATTCACCTCATCTCATTAACATTTCATTTCTTAGTTTTCATCCCAAAAACTTATGAAAACACTTTTCTTAATCTTTCTTCACATCACCCAATAATACAATGACAACTCATCTCATCTCATTTCATTTCTTATTTTTAAGAATGAACCGAACAAAAGAAAACTAGAAAACTACAGGAACTAGGTTTCCTACAAACTCGTTTCCTTATTTTTTTCGCCAACCGAACAACATCAAAACTAGAAATGTTAAAAAATCACTCACATCATCCAATAATAATGTGACAACTCAACTCATCTCATCTCCATTTCTTTGATTTCCTTTTTTTTAGCCAACCAAACAAGTCAAAAACCTATTTTTCTTAGAAATAGTTTTCTATTTCTTTGATTTCCCAGTTTTTTTATGGCAAACGAACAGGTCCTTAGTGTAATAACTTGATTTGCGTGCATAATTGTACACAAGACGCAAAAGGTCATATCTATTCACCTATGCTGTAATGAAGAGATGCCATTGGGTGTGGTGTTAACAAGTGGCGCTATTATTATTATATTTTCTTTCTTGAAAACAATATTTCCATCTAACCAAGAAGTGTTAAGCTCGTGCTCGTATGGGTGGATTTGCTTTTCTGTTTTGGCTAAAGTTAAATGAGGGATAAAGTTGAGGGAATAAAACAATTTGGGGAAAATTTTATATTTATCATGACTTGCAGGTACATTTAGAAATACAAACAATTTGGGGGTAATATATCAAAAAAATTAAAAACTAAACTATGGGAAAATTTCACTAAATCCCAAGTCAGTTTTGGTGATTGGAACGAAGTCCCCAATATATTTGAAACTCTGTATAAATCCTAATATCTTTTGCAGAAACATCCCACAATTTAACACCATTAGTTCATCTTTAGTCAAATGACCAAATGACCCCCAATAGATTTTGGCAGAAATTTCAATAAGTTTTATGTTTTGTCATTACCTCCCCAATAAGTTTTGGCAGAAAACTCCCAATAATGGATGTTTATAATTTTTTTAGAATTTTTTAGAGGTTTGTTTGTAGTTGGATTTTTTAAAGTGGTTGTTTATAATTTTTAAATTTTAATGGGGTTTGTTTATAATTTTAGATTTTTTAGTGTTTTTGTAATTTTCAAATTTTAGGATTTGTTTGGGTTTCTTATTTTTTTTTAATTTATAGGGTCTCTTTGCAAATTTTTTAGGCGGCTATTTACAATTTTAGATTTCTCATTATGTTATTTATCATTTGTTTTTTATGGGTTTTTTGTAATTCTCATCTTTTTTATGGGTTTTTTAGCTTTTTAATTTTTTGCGGAGTCGTTTGTTATTTTTAGATTTTTACAGAAGTTGATTGTAGTTTTTTAATTTTTTTTCTTGGAGTTGCTTGCAATTTATAAATTTTCTGCGGGTCATGAATAATTTTAGAATTTTAGGGTGTTTTTGCAATATTTATATTTTTAGCAGTTTTATTTTTTATTTCAGATTATTCAGGGGCTATATATATGTAATTTTCTTTAATTTTTAGGGGTCTGTTTGTGTATCCTAATTTGTTAGGGAGTTTTCTCTAAAGTAATTCAAAGGGAATTGCTTGTATCTTTCAAAACTTTCTACATGTTGTTTGCTTGTATCATTCAAAATTTTCTACATGTTGTTTGCAATTTTAGATTTTTTAGGAAGCTATTAAAATTTTTGTATTTTTTAGGAATTATTTGTAATTTTATGGGTTAAGATGCAAATACAAAGGATTGAGGGGTATATAATAGTCTTGAGGGCCAAATTTGTCAATTTGAAATTATAACATAACCCCATTAAGTGCAAAAAATAATAATAAAACATTTTGGGGGTTTTCTGTGAGTTTTAAATATTTTGGGTATGTAGTGCTAAATTTGCAAAGATATGGGCGGCTTATTGAATTCAGTCTTTAAAAAATTAAAGAGTGTTCTATAACATTTTTTGATTTTTTTTTAATTGTGGATTGTTATGACCAGATTAGAATTAGCAAAAATTTGATTATTCAAGTTTTCTAATTTTAATGTGTAAATTTTTCTAACTATAGACATGAATAGTTTTAATTTGATGAGAATTCTTAGGAAAAAAGAATTAGTTGTATGCATTGTTATTTTCTAATAGAATAGAGGGAAATATGATATTTTTTAGGACAAAATTTGAAAAAACGACCGTTTTTCAAAATTAATAAGTAATATTGACCATTTAAAAAAATTCAGCAAAATCGACCCTTTCAGCGGAAAGGGTCGATTTTGCAGTTTTCGAACTGCACGGGACTACTAGTCCCGTGCAGTTCGCCCAAAAACCCAAAAATCACCACATCTCCACTTCGCACTCTCTCCAACTTCACCGATGTCCAACTCCTCCCCCTACTCCTCTCTCCTCTCCAAACTTCTCCTCCCCCAACCCAAACTCCTACTTTAGAGCGCTCCTTTTCATCTGAGTCAGACGCGGGGTCGGCTCTTAGGCCCTAGAATCCGAGCGCGCAGAGGCCGAGAAGCACTTGCTCGCCACTGCCGTCGCTCCCCTAGTCACAGGATTAACACCGAATCTCAGCCTTTTAGGAGCTATTGGTGTGCATTTAGCCTTCTCGGTGATGATCCTACCGTGTTCATCTTTGGTGACGTCTATCTTCTCAAAAAAAATTCACACGTCGAATCTCGGTCTTTTAGGAGCTCTTGGTGCAGATTCGTCGCCACCAGATTCAGGATTAACACCGGTAAGAGGAGTAGTTGTTGTAGGAGGACTCATTTCTAGATCAGTAGGAGATAGATTTTGCTCTTCATATTCAGATCCAGAAGCCATTTGATGGAAGTATTGGAGATAGATTTTGCTCTTCATATTCAGATCCAGAAGCCATTTGATGGAAGTATTAGAAAATATAAGAGGTTATAAGAGAGTATAATATTGTATAAGAGAGTATTAGAAAGAAGTAGAAGAGTTTTGGTGTAAGGATAAGAAGTAAAAACTCCTCTCTATTTATAGAGGCAGCCCTCTAGGCAAATGACAAAAAAGCCCTCACATTTTGATCGTTTTAAGGGGCAAAACGGTTAAAACCCATATATGGCCATTATGGTCGGGCCGGTCTGGGCAAAACGATCAATTTTTTGACCGTTTTGGCTAGGTCGGGCCGGCCATCCCGGTCGATCTGCCAAACGATCATTTTTTCCCGGCCCGGCCCGGTCATTCCGGACCAACGGTCACCAGGTTGTGACCGTTGGTGCGAGCGGCTGGTCGGCCCGGCCCGGTCCGGCATTTTCACAGCAACGGTCACCTCTGGTGACCGTTGCTGCCAGGGTCCGGGCCCGGGCCCAGGCACGCCCGTTCGGTTTTGGTGCCCCGACCGGCATTGTTCCGGGCTGAGCCCGGGGTCGGACCGGCAGCATTTTCACGGCCCGGACCCGAGCCCGCCGCGGGCTGGCCCGGCGTGTACCGGGCAAACCTTGGACCGGGTCGGGTTCCGGTTGGCCCGGGTTCCGACCCGACCGGGCCCGGGCCACGGGCTTTTTGGACAGCCCTAAGCAGAGATATCATATTTGATGAGGCGTACATGATGAGGCCTCAAGTTCCTCTGTAAGTGGAGGAAGGCCAGATACGAGAGATATCACAGCAGGTGGGGGATGATGTGACTCCACCCACTCCAAATATCATTGTATCCATTGAGGCTCCTATAGAGATGACACTGGGAGGAGATGAGATGATAGTTAGGCATTTAGAGGATACAGTGGTTGGTGAGACTTAGAAACAGAGTCATATTTAGGAGTCCATTGTAACAAATAGACCTAGAAGGGTGATTCATCGACCAACTAGATATAATGATGTCATGGTCGCATATGAATTATCAGTGGATGTCTTTGATGAAATGGTTCCTTCTACATTTAGGGAGGTAGAGTCTAGCTTTGATTCGATCAGGTGGAGGGAATCTATGGAGGAGGAGATGTGGTCTCTTCAGAAGAACGACACTTGGAAACTTGAAAAACTACCTAAGAGTAAGAAAGCTATTGGTTGCAAGTGGGTATATGCGAAGAAAGAGGGATCTTCTATTGGGGACATTAAGTACAAAGCCAGATTGGTTTCTAAGGGATATGCACAGCTTGAGGGCGTTGATTACAACAAGGTATTTTCACCCGTTGTGAAGCATTCGTCGATTCAGATTTTATTGGCATTGGTGGCATAGCTAGATTTGGATTTAGTCCAGATGGATGTTAAGACAGCCTTTCTACACAGAGATTTAGATGAGGAGATCTACATGACACAATCCTTGGGATTTAAAACTGCAGGAAAGGAAGATTTGGTGTACAAGTTGAAGAAGT